ATAATTTAATATTATTGTTTTCATATTATTTATTGTGATTATATAAATTAATAAATTAAATTATTTACAAAATAGGTAAACGCTCTACCAGTACATATAAGCTAACCAGCTAGCTAGATAGGCCAAGTATTCGAAACATACACACACATACACACCCTGTATGTCAAATGGGGTACGAAAATCGACACCCCACTTTTGGACATGGAAGTGGCACACATACTGTCATACTACAGAGTGAATTTAGTCTAAGATACTTCTGTGACCTTCTTTGGAAATACAACCCACTATCACATGAAAACTTAGGGGCAAGGAATAACCAGGGCGCTTCTCTTTGTATCTCCTCTGCTCTGTGGTTTGTTTTTGTTTGCTTGTTTTTAACATTTTTTTTATTTATTTGAGAGAAAGAGAGCATGGGAGGGTGGAGAGTCAGTGGGAGAAGCAGACTCCCCACCGAGCAGGGACCCAGATATGGGACTCAGGACTCCAGGTTCATGACCTGAGCTGAAGGCGTTCACCCAAGCAACTGAACCACCCAGGTGCCCCTCTGCTCTGTTTTTATGGCAGAAAAAAATCCTTATAAAGTTAGGCACCTGTCTATTGACAATTCTGGCCTGTACACACATATCTGTACACACATGTATACACACATATATGGAGATGTACATATATATCAAAGATTGCTCCAAGAAGATTACAAGTGCTTGGTACAATGTGACATCCTGCCCTTCACTTGCAAAGATGCTGCTATTCCTTCCCACCCCCCACCACCAAAGAATAAGGTTTTCGGTTTTTCTAAAGGTGGTGATGGGAGGGGTGACTCATCCACACTCTCCACACCAAGACGCCCGTCTGACTCATAGCACGCTTTTGAGATGACTGGCTAAGACTAGAGGCACAATTCTTTTTGAACAAAACAGTAGAAATGTAACTGACTTCTAGAGGGTTACTTAACTCAAGCCTTCACCTCATTAGCCCCATTGAACTCAGCTAACTACCAAGGAGAGGAAAAGTCCAGCTGCCTTCAGTGAATAGTAACGAATGAAAGGGAACCTTTAAGGTAGAGCCTTTAATCCTTGGCACATTGCCTGGCATGAGAAAGGTATTCGATAATCATTTACCAAACAGAGGCTCGGCCTGTTAGTTCTGTGTCTTGCCTGGTGAGAGAAGATAGCCATAGCTCAACCTGAGGAAAGATTTGAAGGAGGAATGTCACAAGGGAAAGTAGAATGTTTGCCATCCATCATCCCACAACGTCCACGGAGTCAGCACCCCCTCTGCCTGCTGCTAAGTGACTGCCTCTGTTACTAGGTGGACGAATTTAAAGAGCCTGGGGCCAGTAGTAAGGAAACTCAGCTTGGAGTGACCCTGGCAACTACTTTTCTTCGCTCTCGCGCTCTAGGTGCAGTAAATGGGTTTCTACCTTGTTCTTATAATGTGCTCGGCACCGCAGGTCCAGAATGAGTGTCTTGCATGATCCCATGTTCCAGCCCCCAGCCTCAATGATCCTCTAGGTTCTAGACATTCCAACATTGCTTCCAGGCACACAGAGACCTTCAGACCCGTTAACATATTCACTGACGGTTTTTCCAAAGATAGTGATGTGGATGGTTGAGCAATTGGGGAGACAAGGAGAGACTGGTTAATGCTCCCTCAATCTGTCCCTGGTCATTTCATCCACTCTTGGATACAGATAATTACTATTTTCTCTATCTTATAAAAAGATGAGTTTGGGGGAGGGGGTCCTGGGTGTCCCAGTCAATTAAGTGCTTTGGCTCAGGTCATGATCCCAGGGTCCTGGATTGAGCCTCCCATGGGGCTCCCTGCTTTGTGGGAGTCTTCTTTTCCCTCTCCCAGCTCCCCCCTCATTCATGCTCTCTCTCTTTCTCTTGTGCTATCTCTCTCAAATAAGTAAATAAAATTTTTTAAAAATAATTTAAAATAGGCTAAAAATAAATAAATAAAAAGATGAGTTTGGGATAATTTGAGGGGGGTTCAATGTCGTTAAGTGCAAAATTTAAGGTCCAAGTTGAACCTCTGAAAGACTTAAAGTCTTTGAATAAGCACCTGCTACATGTCAGGCACCAAGCCATACACTGGTGACACAGACTTGAATAAGCTTCCTGCTCTCTGGCCCAGATACAAAGGCAAGTAACTATGAGAGGTGAAGAATGCTGTAAAGAAAGTATTTGTTAACACTGAGGCATTTGCTGGATGGAGGACATAAAAAAGGAGAGATGACAAGCAAATAAGAATAAGGCGCACCTACTTGACCGGAAGAGAATCTCTATAGCAGTAAATACATATTTTAGTGTTTTGATATTTGTTCAGGGGCTTCGTGGATTCAGTAGTCCCCATAACTTATGAAGCAGCTATAGGTGGCAAACAGTGGCTTCAAAGCATCCCAGAATCCAGAGGAAAATAAGGCCAAGTGAAGTCACACAGATCAGGGGCAGTATCAGGGATGGGATTTCTGTCTATGAGTCACATAACAGCATTTTGTGCCTCTTTTGCTGGGGATGCTGAGATGCCATCCAGGCTGAGAAAGACTCGGAAACTTCTGGGGAACGTAAGCCACGGCCATGCTGCTTGGGCAAGCACCGGAAGCACCCAGGGCCCAGGGTCGTCCTGGTGGCATGCGTCATCGGCCCAGGATCAACTTCAACAAATCATACCCAGGTTACTTTGGAAAAGTTATTTTTAAAGCAGAGTTCTTATTATTACCAAAGCCAGTATTGCAGTATCTGCACAGTATCTGTGCAGATACTGTGACCTTCTTTGGAACTACAGCCCACTATCACATGGAACCAGAGCTTCTGCCCAGCTATCAACCTTGACAAAATATGGGACCAAGTCCATCAGCCAACTGGAAGAAATGTGGCCAGAAACAGGACTGGAGCTGCTCTTATCATTGATGTGGTGTGATCTGGCTACTGCAAAGTTTTGGGGAAAGGAAAGCTGCCAGAACAACCTGTCATGGTGAAGGCCAAATTCTTCAGTAGAAGAGCTCAGGAGAAAAATTGGGTGGTTGGGGTGCTGCATCCTGGTAACTCAAAGCCATGTGGAGGGAGGAGGTCCAATAAATGTCAAAGAGTGCTTTACAAAAAACGACGACAACAACAAAAAAACAACAACAGTGCTTTGTGTCTTCACAAAACATTCAAAGGGATCCAACTTGTTTTCCAGATGAAATGGGGAGAAAGGAAATGGAAAAAAGGGGTTCCATGGACAAGAGAAATATACAGCACAACTTGTACAATTTCTGTCTTACAGAACAGAGGTTTCCATAAGGAAGCACCAAACAAAAGATGACCTTGAGATATTTATCTTAAATATTTATTTTAAAAATAAAGGAAAAAAGCAAGCAGTAATTAGAAGAAAATTCAAGGGCTTATGGATTTATGAAAATAACTTTAATCCCTATGACCATTCTTTTAACCATCATATTTTAAGAAGTTTCTTTTCTTTTCTTTTCTTTTTTAAAGATTTTCTTTATTTATTTGACAGACAAAGATCACAAGTAGGCAGAGAGACAGGCAGAGAGAGAAGAGGAAGCAGGCTCCCTGCTGAGCAGAGAGCCCAATGCGGGGGCTCAATCCCAGGACCCTGAGATCACGGGCCCACGTGGAAAGCAGAGGCTTTAACCCACTGAACCACCCAGGTGCCCCAAGAAGTTTCTTTTCTTAATTGAATAAATTTAAGGGGCTTATAATAAGATGCACACTTTCTACTTTAATTTTTATTTAAAGGCATGTTACAATGTTAATTATGTAATTAAAATCTTGGTTTTTCCATTACCCTCTGGTTTTCCTGGCATATCAGCATTTTTTAAATTGTCTGTATACTAAATCAATAAGAAATTTTGATAAAATGGACTCTATGCACCACAAATATTGTTCTAAATGAGAATTTCAAGTGTTTGCTGTTTAAAAATACCCAATTTTTAAAATTAACATTATTGGAATAATAAATGCTGGCAGGAATAAAACACTGGATAGTATCAGTTTCTCACTCAGAAAAATAAAATATCCAAAGGCTAGAAAAGTTTCATATGGAGCATTATTATAGCAATATAAGAATGTTTCTTATAACTTTTTAAATTTGTGCATTGTATTTTGTTATGTTTCTCTGAGCTATTTTGATGCAATCTTTTGACACACCACACATCATTCCCATTTAATAGCACTAAAGCATAAAAACATATTTCATTTGCCTTGAAGTTTTTCAATAATAGAATAGATGGGCAGGGTTATTGATTTCTCTTCCCTGGTATCTTACTTTATAAGGATTTGTTTTTCTGTAATAAAAACACCAGAAGAGCTCCAAAGAGAAGCTCCTTTGTTTTTCATTGCCCCTAAGTTTTTCATTTCTGTGGCAGGTTGTACTTCCCAAAGGTGGAAACAAAAATATATCTCAGCCCATTCCTTCTGTAGCATGACCTTGCCATTTCCACAACAAAACACAGTGTGTCTAGGGCATCTGGGTGGCTCAGTCGGTTGAGCATCTGCCTTGAGCTTAAGTCACAATCTCACGGTCCTGGGATTGAGCCCCACATTGGGCTCCCTGCTCAGTGGGGAACCTGTTTCTCCCTTTCCCCCTGCCTGCTGCTCCCCATTCATGCTCTCTCTCTTGCAAATAAATAAACCTTAAAAAAAAAAAAAGAAAGAAAAGAAGAGGAAGAAAACCCACAGTGTGTCTATTTCTATACCCCATTTGACTACTGAAACCAATAGAATATGGCAGGAACAATATTGGGCCGGTTGTTAGGTGTATCCAGGCCCTAACTTGGCAGTTCCTGCTTCCTGTCTCTTAGAAGACAGTTGCCAGGGGCACCTGGGTGGCTCAGTCATTAAGCGGCTGCCTTGGGCTTAGGTCATGATCCCAGGGTCCTGAGATTGAGCCCCACATCAGGCTCCCTGCTCAGCGGGAAGCCTGCTTCTCCTTCTACCACTCCCTCTGCTTGCGTTCCCTCTCTCTCTCTCTGTCAAATAAATAAATAAAAATCTTAAATTAAAAAAAAAGAAAAAGACAGTTACCAGATAGAAAGTGCTACTACTCTGAGATCACCCTGCAAGAAGAAGTTAACCTACACGGAGAGAGAAAAGAAGGCCAAGCAGTAAGAAATGAAGAAGTCGTCCTAGATGACCCGTCCAGTTGAGCCTCCAGATGACTCCAACCCCAGCCACAACCTGACCATAAACACCTGAGAAACCCAAGTGAAAAACTGCCCAGGTGAGCCCAGGGTCACCTACAGAACTGACAGAACAGTAGCTTGTTTTACCCACTAAGTTTTGGGGTAATTGGATTCACGGCAATAGATCACTGGAACAAATATCTATTGCTCTCTCTTACAACAAAAATTTTTCCTCCAGGGTCTGAAATATAGGACCCCAATCTTGCCTTTCTGCTTTCTCCTCTTTCTACTGTCCTCTTACTTTTCCTCTGTGGAGGTTATTTCTATAACACGTATTCAGTTTACTCTATTTGGGAAATGTAGCAATGTGTGAAAAAAAAATTGGAGTGAGCATTATACACAGTATCTGCAATACTGGCTTCGGTAATAATAAGAACTCTGCTTTAAAAATAACTCCTACATTTAATGGAGCACTTGTGTGCGCTAGATGTTCTTTTGGGCACCTTGAACGCATAAACATATTCAATGCTGATGACAATCTTGTCAAGTATTACTTTCATTTTGGCTAAAGAAATTCTTGAGGCAAAGTAACCCAGACAAAGTCACAAAATTTGTTGCTAGTGGAGCCTAGATTTTCGAATATCTCTTTACAATTCCAAACTCCAAGCTCTGAACCACACTTCACTATACAGCCTTCAAATCTTTATATTTTACAATGGCGTTCTTAGATGATTTTTTCGGATGGTGTATCCCTAAATAAGATGCCGACATTTTTTTGTCTAGAGCAACATTATGTTATGCCAGCTTAAATATAACTTGCCCATGTAATTTCTGATTTTACATATTTATCTGACTTCACCTTCTTCAGAACAGCCTCAAGAAAGCCATTCCAGGGTGCCTGGGTGGCTCAGTAGGTTAAGCTGCTGCCTTTGGCTCAGGTCGTGATCTCAGGGTCCTGGGATCGAGTCCCGCATCGGTCTCTCTGCTCAGTGGGGGGCCTGCTTCCCTTCCTCTCTCTCTGCCTCTCTGCCTGCTTGTGATCTCTCTCTGTCAAATAAATAAAAAAAAAATCTTAAAAAAAAAAAAAGCCATTCCATCCAGATAGAGAGGCATTTTATACCTGATCGAGTTGTGAGGACTGGTGTCTGACTGTGGGAGAAAGGAGGAAACATTGGCTTTCACGTTAACAGTCCTTTGTTTGAATCTTTTTACATCTATATGAGGAAAGACTTGTGGTGGCACAGATTTCTTAGACTAGAAAACTATGCTTCAGAAAATTAAAGGGATCAGCCAAGGTCACGTGGAAAGTGATCTGTTCCTAAGATCATACTTCTTCCACTTATACCACTTCTATAGCCCTACTTAGTTAATCCATTACCTCCTTTAGGACATTGATTTACCTATAGATCATGCTGTTACAATTGTCTTCTCTAATTTGTTTCCCAATATTGCCCCTGATTCCACACTAGTTCAGCCTCAGCCCCTTTTAAACCCTCTTGTGAGCCCTAAGCCCTGTTTAAACCCTCTATTGTATTAAGGATGCTAGAGCATTTTTATAATGTTATCTCTGAGTCTGATGAACCAAGAAATTACCAGATTACTTTGTGCAACATTACAATATGTAATGCTGAAATGTTACACACCAAGACCAGAATTTGCAAAGATCATAAACTGATAACAAACTACTCCAGGATTCACAATCTGTAAAAAAAAAAAAAAAAAAAAGGGAGTTTGGTGCTTTGGGTTGTACTGTTCTCAATGGAAATATTAATTGATTCCTATACATTTTCTCTTTGTGAAAGCAGATTATCCAGATCTCTTTTTGGACAAGATGTACATTACTTTCTAATTTTACTATTTCTATTTCACAGCTTTACTTTGAGTTTTCATGTAAATTTGAGTCCCACATTTATAAGAAATGTACAATGAAACCAAGACTCTGTTCTGGAACATAATCAATTGCTTTTCTAGCATTGTTCACATGCTACCCTTTTCAGCAGGAAATGGTAAGAAATATGACTCAAAATTTCAAAAACTCTATTACTGAAAAGAGAGAGAGAGAAAGGAAACTTAAACCAAAACCAAAGTTAAAATTGAAATGAAAGCACATGAGCTATTCATAAATGGTAACTGTTCTTATCTTTTTTTTAAATAATTCAAACTATAGCAAAGTATTACAATACAATTTGGATGACCAATATTTTAAATAGTTGATCTGGTGTTGGGTCAAGTAATTATTTAAAAGGTATCTTCAGGGGTGCCTGGATGGCTCAGTGGGTTAAGCCTCTGCCTTCAGCTCAGGTCATGGTCTCAGTGTCCTGGGATCAAGCCCCACATCAGGCTCTCTGCATTGCTTCCCCCTTCTCTGTCTGCTTACTTGTGATCTCTCTCTCCCTGTCAAATAAATAAATAAAATCTTTTAAAAGATAAATAAAAATAAATTAGAAAAAGATATCTTCGGAAAATTAAAAAGAGTCCTCTGATCTAATATAAAAAAATATATATTATTTTGAGGTGAGGAAAGGATTGTAAGTGCTTAGGAAATAAAAGCTCCTATGACGTTTAAATGGAGCTTCTGCATTCCCCAAGAGACCCATAATTCTTCCATGCACCTAAATCCTATTTCTTGATACTAATAAAGAGGGACAAGAGAGCACTTTTATTTTCTAGTCTCACTTTCCCAATAAGCTGCCGTTTTAGCTAGTGCTCATGTAAATATAAGGTTAACAAAAGTTTCCAGAAACTCTCATTGGAACACAACCAACTAGACTTAGTCAGGAGATTCAGAATTACAAGGTCATCAGTAATAACTGGAGAAATAGCTCTGACTCTTATTTTTGTAGCATTTGATGAAAGAAGAAAATGCAAACAATGTTGTCCAAAAATTTTCAGCGTGACTCTATTCACGTCTACAGGAAAACATCTATTCAGAAGATACCAGAAGCTCTGATCATTCATTCGGCTAAACAAGTGAGCAGCTTTATCACTGGCCAGATTGAAGATATAGTTATGCATCATTTAAAAACTGATTAGGGGCCCCTGGGTGGTTCAGGCTGTTAAGCGTCCGACTCTCCATTTTGGCTCAGATCGTAATCTCAGGGTCCTTGGACCCAGCAGAGTCTGGCTCCCCACTCAGCGGGGAGTCTTCTAGAGATTCTTCCTCCCCTTCTCCCTCTGCCCCTGGCCCAAATAACATGCTCTCTCATGCCTTCTCTCTCTAAAACAAACAACAAAAATCTTTAAATAAATAAATAAACAAATAAATAAAAACTGATGGTAAAACAGTATCCGCAACTTATATAATATCTACTCTCCTTCTACCTGACCCCTGTAAACCACTCAAACTAAAGTCTTTCAAATGACACCCAATATTTCTTGAAGAAAATTTTTTAGATACTGACAGGCACTTGCAGATCTCAGCAGGAGACATTTGGTTTCTGGTTTCTGTTAGATAACATCTTAGCCTGTGATCACAGACCACAGTTTTGCAGACTTCCTCCCAATTCAATCATGAGCGCCGAAAAGAGAACGTGTAAATGTCTGTCTCTCTCCTCACGAAGGCTTATGCATAGCTGACCTATATTATAGAATATTATACTCCTTACTCAATTAAAATCCCAGAAATTGTTTCATTTATATTACCTTCCTCAGGACTTTTTGCAGGATGTGTTCAGGGCAGTTGATTGTGGATCTGAAGAGGGATTTTAGCTTTGCCTTGTGATTTCTCAGTAACCACAGTTAATAAAGTTCTCACTTGTCTTTTATACCAGGAGAGTAATAAAAACTGCATGTTCCCACCTGCATCTAAGCCCAGGGATCAACAGTAAATTCCACCCAGTGATTGAATGGTCCTTCATGTAATTACCATGACATCAATTTGATCTTATCTTGTTTCAACCCTTAGATCATTTTTTGTTTTGAGCCCTTTTCAGGCAGTGGTGACTTCAAGGTCAGCCTATGAAAAGAGAGTACACTCATTATCTATGTAATTTTATCAAGACTTACACACAACATCCTGAAAGTGGACACTTTCCTATAAACAAGACTCTATTAATATTATATTTAATTAGCTAAGTACCTGATGTTTACTTAAAACAGGAGAGGAACTGTAAATGTCAGATAGTAGATACAGAACATTACCAGGCTTATGTTATTCTAGTAGGAAACAGAAAAATAAAACACGTACCTATTTAGATTTTTCTAACCCATTACTATGTATTTGGATTTGATAAGGATGCATAGAGAAAGCATGAGATAGTTCTAAGAAAGACTGATTAGTTCTCAACCATGACTTTTTCCCTTTCTTAAAAATTTCACATCTGTAAGGCTCAGTTTCCGCCTAAACAAAAAATACATGTTACAACTTGCCAGCTGGGGACATTTAACTCCAAGATTCCCAAACCATGTCTCTCTAAAACTACCCAGCTCCTCAGGATTCAACTCTGGCTTTTATCCAGAGATTATGATCCTCTCAAGCGTCCACTCTCCATCTACTGCACTCAGTGCCATTTCTGTAGGAATTGGCTTGAAAATAAACTACCAAGGACCTCCCCAGGGGAGGGCTTAGAAGATCTGTGGGATACAAAAAAGCAACTCTTGTTTCACATAAAGACACAGACCAAAGAAAGCAATATTGTTCTGTGATTTATTATCTGTGATAAGTTGATTTGTTTCAGTTCTTACACCTTTTCAGATTTCCATTATCTCCTTCCAGTGGTTTTTCTTAGGATCCACTCTAACCATTCACCTTTTTCTGGTGACAATTGTCAACATTATTCATGAATTTCTATCATTTACATCTCGAAGGATTAGCAGTACATTTTCAAAGTAGCAGACTTACTGTGGAAATCTTGAGCCTTTATAGCTTCAGGGGAAGGAAATCTCTCTAGTCTTATGGATAGCTTCCTTTCCCTCCATTCCTGCATTTTGTTCTAGTCTCTTCCTTCCCTCTGTGCCTTCTTTTGATCCTTTTTTCTTTTTTATCTGTGTGATTAAGTAGATAAGATGCTTCTTGTGTTCTCTTATTATTTTCATTTGGTTTATGATTCAGTAATGGGTTTCATCTTTATTTCACGCTTCTGTATAAAAATGAGGAATATTAGGGACTCATGAAAGTTCTTAGAGTATTTTTAAAGTTTATAGTGTTTTCGTATTCTTTCTTAAACATGATATGGCAAAATAAATAAATTAGACAACGGAGTTGTCAAAACAGTCCCTTCAGCATGTGACCTCTCCTGCTCCACAGACTCCCAATTTCCCTACTTAGAAGTGATGTTGAAGTTGTGATGCATTCTACACCTGAAACCAATACTACACTAATGAGAATTTAAATAAAAATTTGAAACAAAAGAAAAGAGTGATATTTTTAGTTTTTATATGTTTCTGCATTTATCCTATGTATATATAAAAAAGTTATACATAACTTTCCTTCCCCATCCAAATTATCTTTTACATGATAAATAGAACACAGAAGTTGGAGGAGACTGAATTTGTACTCACAATTTAGAGGCATTTCTTTCTGTTAATATAGTATAAATTATAGTTCTCCATACTTCCAAAAATGAGTATATATTACTTTTTTGGAGCATATATTACTTTTAATTATAACTACAGAAATGAATTTTTAGTTACTGGAGGAGAAATAACGATTTTCAATTACAACCAGTTAAAGTACCAGTACTGAAAATATGTTTTCAAGTCTCATTTTTTTATGTAGTTGTTTTCCTGTACTAACAGTTCTATCCTATATCAGGCCATTCTCCTCTTGGATAACAGGTAGGGCTGGTGGGTAAGAGATCCAAACCACACCTCATTCATTTATAGTTACTCTCCAGATGCTAAAATTTGGAGTGCCCATTTCCAAGAAAGTAGATTGGTTGAAGAACATGAGATGACAGGCCCACCAGTCACTCTTACTAGGCAAGGTCCTGAAAGCACATCACACTACAGAGAGTGTGTCAGGCACATCTTTGCCTAGCAGTATGACACAGTGAATTTCATACATGCTAGGCTAAATGCATGAATTTTTCCTAATGAAGTTTTGTCATCTACACATTGGATATTTTTTAAATAACCACTTTTGTAAATGTTTCATATGTCTAATTGATTTGTTTTATTAAACATAATTTGATCTTTCTACTAACAAAGTATAATTATCACAAACATTATGCTATAATCAAAACAGCTGAGGCATGTTAAATGCCTGCTTTCTCGAGTAGTTTATTCTTCAGTAATTTTAATAACACATGACACGATTTTAAATTTTCAAGCAATCTAAGAGTATGTATAATGAAAAATTAGTCTTACTTCTACCCCAAAATCTTCACTTCCATTCCCAAAGTTAATCAATTTTTAACAATTTCTTTTTTTGAGAGAGAGAGAGAGAGAGAGAGCATGAGATGGGGGAGGGTCAGAGGCAGAAGCATACTCCCAGCTGAGCAGGGAGCCTGCTGTGGGACTCAATCCCGGGACTCCAGGATCATGACCCAAGCTGAAGGCAGTGACCCAACCAAGGACCCATCTTTAATAGTTTCTTAATGTTTTCTGACATTTTCTACATATATAGATACATTTTCTGAGGTATTACTGTGTCAGGAAGCAAGAATTCCTGTCCCTTCAAAGGTTCTTTTGGCTGGACTAAGAACCAAATTGTCATGAGACAGATTAACAGGAGAAAATCAAATTTAATAGGTGTATACACAGGGAATCCACACAGACATGGATTCCAGAGATTATGATCCTCCCAAGCGTCCACTCTCCATCTACTCTGCTCAGTGCCATTTCTGTAGGAATTGGCTTGAAAATAAACATCGAAGACAGGCAAAATGAAATATATATGCTGAACTAAGGAGAAGGAGCTTATAGGGGTGTGGGACTTCGGAGAGAGGGGTCTGGGATTTGAAAGGAGAGGAATGCACTTTACAGGGTGATAAGAAGAACAGATATTTGGTAATTAGATGTTTGCCCTACCATGAAGATGGGTCACTCAGATAAAATTTATCTCTGTAAATAACCCTTATTCTGGGAAAGACCCCCAATTTAGATTCTTCCATGTGGTTAAGGGACAGACAAAGTTTCTCTTGGGCCCACAGGGTCTTAAGTGCCTTCAGCTCAAAATAATCCCCATGCCAAAATGACACATTCTACAGGGGATCCTATACTGAACCCCTTCAACTATATAGAAATATACGCATTGTTTAGTATGACTTCTTTTTATTTTTTAAAGTTTATTTACCTACTTATTTATTTAAGTAATTTCTACACCCAACGTGGGGCTCAAACTCATAATACCAAGGATCATGAGTCACATGTTCTTCCGACAGAACTAGCCAGGTGCCCCTTTCTTCTTTTTAAACCTTATGATGTATTTTGGTGTTTTTTTTTCCCTATGTGCAGATAGGTAGATCTAACCATACTTTTTAAATAGCACAAAGTATTTATGGACCACTAATTATTTAACCAGTCCTCTGTTAATGATCATTTGCATCATTTCCAGTTTTTTACCATTACAAACAATGCTATAATTATCATCCTTGTCCTGGTTGCACATACACTTATAGTTCTTCAATACATTTTTAGAAGTGCAGTTGGATCAAGAATATGAGTATTTTAAACTTGTATAGAGATTGCTCAAGTGCTCTTCACTGTTCCTCAAAGCCAATGCTATAAAATATGTTAGTTTTTATGAAATAGATGAAAAATCATCTTATTTTCATTTGCATTTATGTAATTTTGAGCAGGGTTAAACGTCATTTCATAAATTACAGCTTATTTATGGGTTATTTTTCAAAAATCTTTATTTTCAAAAATCTTATTGTTCAAAAATCTTTCCCAAGTTGTTAATTTCATCTTTGATTTTAAGCTTGAGTTTTGACTCTTTTATGATATTTTTATCACACAACAGTTTATGTAAACAAAGATGCCTATCTTTAACTTTTAGACGTGTTGGTTTTACGTAATGCCAAGATACTAAAGAGAAGTCTTCTTCTTTTTTTTTTTTTTTTTTTTAGAGAAGTCTTCATTTTTTACTCTAGCATGTGTATTGCTTTATTTATTTTCAGTTCAGATCTTTAATCCACCTATAACTTCTTTGGGAGTAAAGAGTGAAGTAGAAATCCAGTTTCTTTTTCAATCTAAATGGCAAAACAGGGGTACCTTGGTGGCTCAGTGGGTTAAAGCCTCTGCCTTCGGCTTGGGTCATGATCCCAGGGTCCTGGGATCGAGCCCCGCATCGGGTTCTCTGCTCAGCAGAGAGCCTGCTTCCCTCTCTCTCTCTCTCTGCCTGCCTCTCTGCCTACTTGTGATCTCTGTCTGTCTAATAAATAAATAAAAAATCTTTTAAAAAAAATGGCAAAACAGTTACTATAATATCATGTAGGGAATAATCAAACCTTTTTTTTTTTCTGGAGTAATTTGAAATGCCACTAAATTTACAAATATTTGGGGTCTAGTTTTGGGTTCTCTATTGTGACTCATAGCAATAAAAATTGGTCCATAAATGATAATAGATGTCCTAAATTTGTTAAGATAATTGAGTAGTAAGATTAGTAATATTAGTGATTATCCACAAAGTGTACCAACCAGAGTACATTTACAACCAAAGAGAAATTAGATGTAAATAATCTCCTTCAGTAGCTAACAATCTCCTTGCTATAAACTGAAGTGTTGGGATTTTTCCCTCAACATTCTCTTTGATTTGTCATGAAGCTACTAAGACAGAATCCTGATCTCTTAACCTCCACTCAACTCTTTGATGCTATGAGGC